GAGTTATCCAGACCTGATTTTCACTCTAGACCTCTTTTCATCAGTTAAAGTCCAGGAAAACCTGTGGATCTGCTATGTGCCCACCATGATGCTAAGCAATAGAAATTGCAAAAGGAGCACCGGGGATTTAGCTCAGTGGTTCCAGCGCCTGCCTCGCAAGCGCAAGGTTCCGAGTTCGATCCCTGGTACCAAAAAAAAAGAAATTGCAAAAGGAAAAAGATTAAATTGCTGGGCTAAGGCATTCACAGTCTAGACTTTTAGTCACAGTCAGTGAGAACATCTCTAATATGTTCTGATGGAAGCTGTTTACAAAGCTAACTGAAAATCAACCCCTCTCTATTCAGGAGGTTCCAGATGCCTCCTGGAAAAAGTAAACCATGAAGGACAGCTAACATTAGGCAAAGGAGATAGCTGGGAAGCTTTGAGGCACAGAGAACGATACCACAGCACTGAGGAAAAGAAAAGAATTATGTTGTTTTGGAAGAGAAGAATGAAAACAAATGGTGCTGGGAAATAATAAGTAGGTGCCACATGAGGGAAAGCAGAGTGTCATGATAACAAAGTTGGTGCTTTCAACCCAGTGGTATCAGAGCCAAGAACAGAAGGGAATGGCAAGGTCAGATATGTACACATAAGTCATGTTGCTACCAGGGGAGAGATATGAAGACTCAAGAAAGGATACAGACATATTACTTATGAATACATTTTTTAAAGAAAGGCAGGACATCGGGTTCAAATGAGGGTGATGGAAAATTGATTTGAGAAATATTTAAAGTATCAGTTTGATGGGACTTGGTGAGCTTAGCTTCAAATACTTGAATTTGAGGAACCAGTGAAATAGTTAGGTGAAAGCAGTCAGTCATATAAATCTGAAATTCAGGGTGAAGACCTGAGAAAAAGATACATTATTTAAAAGTTGTTCCTAGTTGAAACAAGAATGTGATTGTCTACACAGAAAGTATACAGAAAAGTGGGCCAAGGATAGAACTCCAGAGAATACGAACATTTAGGATGCTTCTCCTAAGACAACCCATTGAAGGCAAGTGACTGAGAAGAAATGGTCACAGAAGAAGAAAAAGAAAATATCAAGGAGAAAGTGGTTGGTATCAAAAGCAGCAGAAACACCCATGATAAAAACCAAAAGGATAAAACTTTGTGTTTGGCAATCAGATCGTCATTTGTGACAACTGCAAGAGCAATTTCAGTGAACTTGTGGGAGCTAAAAGACCAAAAAGAGTTGCCCAAAGGAGATACAAAGCACATGTACTCTACTCTCAGAAAAAAATGGGATGAGAACAATAGAAGGAATAGAGAGCTCTATCTACAGAGGAGCTTCTTTTCCTATTTTGTTTCTGCTTTCTTTGAGACAGGGTACCACTATGTAGTGCAGGCTGGCCTTGGACTCATTATGTAGTCCAGGCTGGTCTCAAACTCGCAGCAATCCTTCTGCCTCAGCTTCCTGAGAGCTGGGATTATAGGTGTACGTCTCCATGCCCAGGTTTCTTTTCCTATTTTTAAAAGATGAAAGAGACTTGACAAGAAGGGGTGTCAGGGAGAGCAGGTAGAAAGGCAGGAACAGGAAACAAGGACAGATAAGTGAAGACATCAGGTCTCTTCACACCATTTCAGATCATCTCCACCTGGATATCTAGTCACATCTCAAATAACAGAAATGTAAAGAGTACACTGGGATCTCCACTCTGCAACCTAGTATTTTTAGAAGCTTTCCATGTCAGTAAATGGCATTAATATGTCCCCTGATGTTAATGAAGTCAAGAACTCACTTTTGTCCCCTCCTTTTCCTTCACTCCCCATACATCATCAATACAATGTCTACCTTTTAATACATCTCAAAAATGTTCAACTTCTATTTTATTCATTTGCTAAAAAATCCTTTAATGATGCCTAGGGATTGGCTCAGTTATAAAGCATTTACCTGCTATGCATGAGGCCCTGAGTTTGATCCCCAGCACTGCACCCTCTCACCCCTGAAGAAATTCTTTTGTGGCTTTAGATCATCTATACAAATCCACACACTTGTCTACTTCTCTGGCTGTTTCCTTCCTCTGCTCTCCCCACTCCAGCTCTACTGGTCTTTGATCCTTGAATGATCCCTTATCGTCTTGGGGGTAACTCCTCCCCATCCTTACAATCTTTCTTGTCTTGACCATCATGGCACCAGAGAGGACTTCGTTCCCCTGTTGTACAGAGTCCCATCTCTCTTCTCCAAAGCATGTGTTACAACCATGACTCATTAGAAACTCATCCAAGTATTTAATATCTGTCTTTTCCATCACACTCACACTTCTGGGAGATATACAGAGTGTGCATCTTGTTTAGTGCCATAGTCTCCTGTTCCTATTATACAGCAGACTCTTAAAGTTAATTTCTTGAATGAGAAGAATGAATGAGTAAAAGATTTAACTCTGAGCAGGAAAAGGCATATTTACTCCTGATACTACAGGGAATAAAGTGAAGATGGCCACAAATGTAGGTAAGCTGAAAAGTAATTAATGGTGGTCCAAGAGTAAGGAAGAAACAAACAAGTCTAGAAAATTAATCCTCCCCACCCCCCTTTTTGAGACAGGGTTTTGCTAGGTACTCCAAGCTAGCCTCAAACTCACAGTGATCCTCCTGCCTCGGCCTCTGCTGGGCAGAATTCACTTCTTATAGTGACAGTGTGCTTCATGAGGGAGGACAGTACCTGAGAAGAGTAGGGTAGGATCTTGAAGTAACTGCTGAAGGGAGAAGGGAGAGGAAAGAAGAATTTGACGAAGATTTAAGGGATGCTATACAAAAGAAGAGCCACAAGACCAAAAAAAAAATACATCTACTAGGTCAAATGAATCATAGAATGGATGTCTCTGTGAGAAGTCTAAATACCATTAACTCTATTCTTTCAAACACCTAACAGTGTCTGACTGAACTAATAAAACATTGCCAGTAGTTCATTTACAAAATTATTTATAAGTAATTTAATTCTTCAAAAATATCTAAGATACTTCATAACATTTTCTTTTGTCAAGTTATTTTAAACAATATTTTAATTACACAATTAACCTGTTGGAAAACTTACTTTTTTACAGATAACATAAAGTGAAATAACACAATAAACTCCTTACTGTTGGGATCCAAATTAATGTTTCATTGGTACTCTCTGGTCAATCAGGTAAGATATAAATTGCCATTAAAAATCTCACTCCATGGGCAAGTACTGTCTACATCTAGCAGTGTATCAGAGTGGAAAATAAACAGCTTCTGAATTCAGCAGGTTCTGGTGCTTAATAGCAGCCCACAATGGTTTGCTCCTTGGAGAAAATGAAATTTCAGGCTCACCTTCCCACTTCCCCTCCAGGTGGTGCTACAGCTGCGAGTGGCAAAGCATCTAAAGCCCATGCAGACAGCTTGCCTTGTTAAATACAACAGTTTTATCTACCTCATTTCTTGGCACTCCCTTTTCCACCCAGGCTCATACAATTCCACAATGTTTTCTGACTAGCTGAGAGTCTACTTCCTTCATACTGTGAGGCAGGTGTGAAAACATCACTGGAATGACCAGGAATAACTTCAGCAAGATGGTGAAAAAGACAGTTCCTCTTTTGCCCTCTCCTTCAAGGCAGATGTCTCTCCTCTCTCTGCTTTCAGGGTCCCTGCTATCTCCTTGTCTTGTCAAAGAATGCCCCTAACCTTGGTCAGAAAACAGTTCTATCATTCCAGCTCTCTATCTGCCAATGAATGCTCCCGTTTGACCTAGAAGGTTTTTGTTTTGTTTTGAGACAGGTTTCACTATGTTGCACAGGTTACCCTAGAACTCCTGAGCTCAAGTGATCCCCCTGCCTCAGTCTCCTACCAAGTATGTAGCTGCAGCCATAGCCTTGCACTACCATACTTGGCTTCTTTCACTTTTAAGAGGGCCCTACTAATACAGAAAAATCCTTCAATGAACAATTAAAGACATTCTATTATTCAGGGTAGTGGAATCTTCTACTCTGGCAGGTTAGACATTAGAAGTCATAGGTTAGAGAAAAGGATAAATGCTATGATATAAAAAATGAGAGGAAAGTTGGCCTCATTGGTTAGTTCTGGTTAGGAACCAGAATGTTCCTAACTACAAACCCAACAGTGGATTTTATTATTCAACTCACATCAAGATCCTTGAGGGACAGCTATCTAACCTTGCCTGTAAAAACGTTGCTCCTCCTTAAGCACTGAGCCCTCACCCCTAATTCACCCATGAAGACACTGTCACAAAGAAGAAAAAAAGGGAAGAACTTAGTTCACCCTTGGGAAAGGCCACTGACCCTCAAATTTGAGGCCGGTAGTGAATTCATCTGCAGACCTTATATTTCAAATTCAACATATGACAACAAACCAGCCAGTAACTCACATCTGTGAAGCAAGACTTCCACAATGCTATAGAAGTTGCACATGACAACAAACCTCTAGGTATGGATGAGGAATGACATTTAGGAGAGGGACTTTTCCAAGGCCACTTAATTGCTTAATGGCAGAACCCACTTCCTTACCATTTCTACTGACTTAGTGACTTCTTTTACTTTGGCAATGCACAGCTACAGTCATCATATAGCCCTGTACATTTTCCTGGATCTAAAATAATCTTCAAATCTAAAATAATTTTCTTGAGATTTTGCCAAGATTTCTAGGCCACCTCCTAAAATTCCTTAAAAAATTATTTCAGGAAGTTGTAATAAAATATTTTTGTGTCGAGTAAGTGATTTTATAGAAGTTAATTGTAAGGTCAGTAACCTATAGATTATAAAAATATAATCATGATAAAGGCACTAGAACTACTCTTAGGTTGTGTTTTACAAGCTCACAAAACAAGGTCCTCAGTGTTTTAAATACTCTACGACAGGCTCTAGAGTAAAGTAAATAAATAAATAAAACAAATGCTAAAATTTCCGGTGTTGCGAAAACACTATTCTACCCTTTAACAAAATACGTTAGCTGCATAAATGAAATAAGTTTATCATACGTACTTAAAGCTCTAGAATGATCCGGATTCCTTATTCCCTTTGCTCGTAACCTCTGAAGAAGAACTGTTGAGGACAACTGTTTTACAAGATATACTGCCATGGAATAGGTCTGGAAAAAAAAAAAAGATGTAGAAAATAAACAACATATGTAAGTAAATAGTACATCTTCTTCAATCCCACAGCAACAGGGAAAGAAAACTAACACTTTTTAAAACACCTACTGTGTGTCAAGCACTGCTCTTGAGTGTTTCCATGAACAGCAATTCATTTAATCCTGATCAGAAAACTACTAAGGTGGTTACAAGTCTATTTTTATAGATGAGAAAACTGAAGTGTAGAAGAGTAAGAGAATCTGCCCTAATTTTACAGCTTCTAAGCGACAAGCTTAGAATTTAAACCCAGGTCTGCCATGCTTCTATATTACCTGACTAACTATAATTTAAGTTAATGAATTTAAGGTACTGACAAGAAAGAATACTGTTAATGGCTAAATATTAACCAAGGTCATGAGGATGACCAGGGTATCACAAATCATACACTGTATAACAGATATATTTAAAATACAGCTATTTAAAAAAATTCTAAGTGAAGGGCCAAGGATTTAGCCCAGTGGTTCCGCCTCCTGCCTCACAAGCACAAGGAACCAAGTTCGATCCCCAGTACCAAAAAAAAAAAAAAAATTCTAAGTGAGACTGGCTTTCTAAGCTACACTTTTCAACCCTTCTCTATGCCTTCGATGAGCTCTTGAAGAGACTATGTGGGTCATGGTCACAACAAGCAGATGGAATATTAAAGAAAGTTTGCAAAGAGAAACTGTTGGCTGGGCAAAAGACTAGATTAATGAATATTCACTGCCATCAGAGGAAATACTCAGAGAGAGTAGTGGGGGGAAAGGAAAATGAAAACAGATGACAAGCCAGGGCTGAGTGAAGAACACATGGTTGGATAAAAAGAAGAAAAGAGGGTGGAAACTTACGAAAGGTAGGAGAGCAATCTAAGAAAGAAGGATCATTTTCCACTGGGTGCTTGGGTCAAGAGGAAGAACAAGAAACTTGAAAAGAACCAAAAGAAAAAATAATTGCTACCATTTTGTATTTCATAGCTACATATAGCTTTCAGAGCATTCTTAACATATCCAGTACTGTCAACTTCATTTAAAATTTGCAGAAAGCCTAGGAAAGATAGGGTATGAGAGAAGTACAAAAGGTACTGTTCTAGGTGAAGCATCGATAAAGTTGCTCAGGCACAAAAAGATTACATAATCTGTTTATGATCATGTAACTGCTTGATCACAGCAAGCACCAGAAACCAAGAGGAAAGGTTAGCAATGCCAGGACAAGGGACTTAATGATGAAGACTAGTGTAATTCTCAATAATTCTTGTTTTCACACACATATACTTGCTTGAACCTTTTAGCCTAGCTGAACACCCATTCTAACTTTCATGCTTTCGAAAATGTATTTATCTGTTGGCAATAAGAGAAAATATCTTACAGGTCATATTTTTACTTAAAGTTCAGAAATCTATCCATGTTCACATGCTACATATTTTCTGGAGAAAAAAATGAAGCATCAAAAAATTGAATTTACTTTCAATGCTAAATCTCCCATTAAGGAGAAACAAATAACCTTAAAATGTTCCTAAATTTTAGAGCATAAAACATATTAATCTAATATAGAACTGATAAGCTTCTCTTAGGAAAAAGAACCTCTCGTTCACCATTATTACTGATTTGCTTAATGCTTCAAATATAATAGAAACTGGAGAAATGCTAATTAACACTGAGAAATTCTGTACTGACAGCTTAAATTTTTAGAACTTGGAATTACCCTAAGGCTCTATATAAATATTTAAGAAGAGATCAAGTAAAAACCACAACAACAAGTTCAGTGAAAAAGGTATGTTCACTCTAGTTGAAACATGTAACCAAACAGAAGAAAAGAGAGAAAAAAAAAAAAAGCGGCAAAGAGAATGCCAGGTATTAACAAATACCACTTGTATACACAGTATGGAATTTTATATCATAGGAAAGAGGTTCAACAGCAAAATTCCCTAAAATTTAATAGTGGAATAGTGTGTCTTCCAGGTAGACATTATAATTTCCTGCTAACCCTTCAAAGTACTACCTAACTCCAATATATATATTATATTACCTCAAGGTAATCAAGGCCTCAAAAGCCTTAAAAATTATTTATCCAGTGTGTAAGATACTTTCTCCATAATTAAAATATAATCTCATTATGTGCCCTTTACAGCAATATCTAAGTAATTTCTCTACAAATACTGACCGTTTAATAAATGCTAAATGCAGTGATTAATTACTCTGAGGAGAAGTTATAGCTCATTTATTTCCTTCAGATGCTGTGGTAGTTCTATTTATTTTCTTTGAAAAGACATATTTGTAATATTTCTCAATGGCAACCAATCAAATGATATAAAAACAGATTCTACATGAACTATTCAGAGTATCTTTACAAGTTGAATTAAAATAGTGATCTAAAAACAACCAGCTATCTCCTGGGCTTTTGAAAAAGGTAATTTTTTAAAACAGTAATTTTCTTTCAAAAGCTCAATGTTTTCTTTTCAAAAGGTTTCCAACTTACAGACCTCTGGGGTCTACAGTTTAGAAACCTTCCCGGGAAGAGCTTCTCTCTTCCCCTCTAGCACTCTCAATCAGCAACTACAGCCCCACCCCCCACAGTGCAGGCCCCTTTCCTGTTTCACTGGGAACAACCCTTTCATTCCTTGGTGAGCTATGGTCTTCATACACAAAAACAAAACATTTTCAATTCTCTCTTCAAAAGAGGACAGGGAAAGAACTCCAAGGCATACTACAAATACAACATGCCTAGGGGCCGGGGATTTAGCTCAGTGATTCCGCCACCTGCCTAGGAAGTGCAAGGACTTGAGTTCGATCCCTGGTACCAAAAAAAAACATGCCTAAGGATTTTTAAAACCTAAAGGTGACACATGAATTAGTTACAAGAAAAGCATAAATAATCCTAACAGATATCAAAAGGATATTTATAAAATTCAAAATCAATTTTTAATACAGAAATTCAGTAAAAGAGAAATACAGAAACACATCACTAACATGATAAGTTTTATCAAAAACTAAAATTACTATAATACCTAATGCTGTAACAGTGGCAGGATTCTCATTCACAAAAGGAATGAGTCAAATATGCTCATTAGCACCTGGGTGATTTAACACTGTTCAAAATGTTCTAGAGAGCAGAATAAGAAATAATGGCATATGGTATTAGGATTATCATTATTTGCTAATAATCATCTCAAACTCCAAACTACCTAGAATCTCAAAAACTCAACTAAACATATGCTGGAACTAATATAGGAATTTAGATATGAAGTAAAGTAAATATCCAAAAATAACTAGCTATTAAATAAACCAACAATAAATACTTCAGAAAAATTTCAAAAGACCTATTGACAATAGCAGTAACCAACACAGGAATTAAAAAGAGAGAGAGAGAGAGAGAGAGACAGACAGACAGACAGACAGACAGACAGACAAAAACAACAAAAAACCTGGGCCAAGGATTTAGCTCAGTGGTTCTACCACCTGCCTCACAAGTGCAAGGCCCCAAGTTCAATCCCCAGTACCAAAAAAAGAAAAAAACAGTAACACAAAACCTATTAAATTATTGATGAACATAAAACAGGGTTTGAGGCAACAAAAAATACTCTTCTTGGAATGGGTATGTATCATTGTAAATAACTATATTCTCCCTAACTTGATCTATAATTTTAAAGAAATCTAACCCAAATTCTCAGAAAAGATGTGGAGTTGGAGTATAAAAAGGAGGAAAGGAAATGGGATAAATTCTACAGTTCATATGGAGGAAAAAAATGTGAAAAAATTGACCCAGTGGAACATGTCTCACGCTAACAAATTATTTTCCACTCTCCTCAAAGCCCTTATCTCTTCCTTCACTCTCAGCTAACTTACCCCATTCTTCCTATCTCACAGACACAAGAAAAGTCACTAAATCAGAACTTAACCTACCAAATATATACACGCACCCAATCCACTTATTTTATGAAGTCCCAATCCATTTTAAGAAGCTAGGGCTGGGGATTTATTTAGCTCAGTGGTTCTGCCACCTGCCTTACAAGCGCAAGATTCAGAGTTCGATCCCCGGTACCAAAAAAAAAAGGTGGTGAAAGAAGCTGTCTGCCCTAGCTCCCATGAGTTTCTTCAACTGTGGTATTCACTACCAATTATCCCCCTTTCCCTTGTACAGCCAACCTCTTACTCAAGAAGATCCCCACCACCCTCTTCTAAACCTATTAAAACAACTCTCATAATCTCACATTTTCCTCCCACTCATCCTCATGTCTCTCCAAAGTCACTCTTCTGTCATCTATTATCTCCACTGTCTCAAACTCCAGCTTATTCCAATCTGGCTTCTCCCACAATCTAGCAAAATAGCTATATTAAGTCACCTTCATGTTCCTAATTCAAAGGGTATTTTCTAAAGTCTTCAACATACCTGACCTCTCAACACCTGCTGAATAATGCCTAACCATTTCCTTCCTTTCTCAAATGGTTCTCTTGACTTCTCAGACCCACTCTCCACCCCACTCCACTCACTGTCTGTCACTGCTTCCCCACAAACACAGGGGGCTCATTTTCCTCTCCCCAGCATTAATTGCTACAGTTCCTCAAAGATGGGTCTCAGGCATCCTTCCTTTCTTTTCCCACTTGATACATTCCATCTAAGCAACATCGCCCCTGCCTGTGTGGCTCTAATAACAACTAACATGCAGATGATTCACAGTTTTTCTCTAGCCCAAACTTACTCCAATTGCCTATGTACCCAAATTGCCTATCTGGGATGTTTCCAAGGCAGCTCAAACTCAAAAACTTCAAAACAGGACTATTTTCTCCATTCAGTTCTCCAATGCTCCTCCACCTCCAAAGCAAAACAGTATAAAATCTACATAGCTGAGTTGTTTCTCAGTGTTTCCTCTATCTCAGGGAATATCCTTCACCTAGCTGCCTAACCTAGAAGAAGCCAAGGAGTTATCCATGTTACCTCCTTTCTCTTGTGCTCCCTTTTCCAACCCAAAAGCTAATTCTGCAGATCTGTATATGAAGAACTCACAGGACAATAAGAAAAACAGCAACAGAGAAACACGGACACAATTTAAAAATGCAAATAGTATAGGCACAAAATACGTTCAATCTCAGTAATAATGAAAGAGTACTTATTGTAGTACCATTGTTTACCTAATGAAATTGGTAAAGATTTTTAAAAAGAGAATAGTGTTGATAGGTATGCAAAGAAACACCGGAAGAGAATAAATCTGCACATCTTTTGAAAAGGCAATCTGTCAATATACACAACATTTCTTAAAATTCTGCATGCTCTTCACTCAGCAATTCTACTTGGGAGAATTTCTAATCAGGATATTATGATGTATGTATGCAAAGCTATGGCTACTAGGCGCCTAGTCTTCAAAATGTTCTTTGCAGTTGCAATGAACAGATCAATCAACAGACCAAGTAAGTGCTCAGCAAAATCTAAGTAAGGGCATATTCATATTGGAATATGATGTAGCTATATAATATAATCCATAAGAATAGATGATGACATAGGGAGACATTTATGATAAACAGCTGAGTTAACGATCGGGTTATAAAACACTGGGTACCGCATGATCCTATTTTTTAAATGGGAACATGTTGAAAATTCATTATGAGACAAAGATCCCTTTGTAACTTGTAGTATCATACACACACACACACACACACACACACACACACACACACACAGAGTCATGGTGATCAACCTTCCCTTATAATACAAAAATCTGGTGGAAACAGGAATGTACTTACTCTTCCAATTTCCGCAGTCCATGAAACAACAATGGTGTTTGGTACTGTTGTGGACAATCGGACAAGTGAGGTGATATTAATTGGTCTGCTGGGTCGCTTTGGTTCCACACCATTTTTAGTAGGTGGAAGGTAACCCTAAAAAAGAAATACAATTTATTATTCAACTTCAACCATTTCAACTTCCATTTTTTTAAAAAATCCCTACCATCTACTCAGTAGAAAATATCAATGTTTTCATTCAAAGCAGAATTTTACAGTCTCATTATACTAAGGAAAATACTATACTGAGGAAAATATCAGCAAGAGAAATTCAAAATCTCTGACAGAAACAGGTGCGATAAGTATATAAGGGGTATTTTCAAGGGGACCAAAGATGGCTCCCTCCTTCACCCTATGTAAGGCTTATCATGGTTCAAATCCACATTCTGCCTCAGGCATAGAGTGTCACATGAACATAGCTGAGATTTTGTTTAAACAACTTCTTCTCCATAAAATCCTGCACAATACCAAATCTACCACACCCAACTCAAAATCCACAACTAATGTCACAGCTGCTAGCTGTACACAACTGGTGCCAATGTTGTAGCCGGTCACACAAATGCATACCAAAATAAAATTATTTTCTTAATGAAAAACTAAGATTAGTTTTTGACATGACTTATTTGATAGTTATGTTGGTAATGTTCTTAAAAACCAACTTTTAGGACTTACTGGAAGGCTGCAAGGTTTAGTATTCACTTTCACACAAAGATTGGGTGGGAAGTGATCTTCTTGTGGACAACTGGTTTCAGATAAACAAAACCTAAAGAATAAAGGTCAGGTTTAACTTCTTTTATTAAAGGATAATTTCATTAAAACTTCATTAATATTTTTGTCAATAGCTAACTCAAAAAATGATCAACTTAAGAACAACAACAAAAAAGGAAAGCTATAAAAGAAAAAAACCTGACATTTCCCATCATGATTAAGCATGTGTAAACAGGCTTAAAATACAGCAGGTAGACCCTTGACAATACAGGTTTGAAATGCACAGGTATATTTATACAGAGATACTCTTTCTCTCACTGCAGATCTGTGACAATTTGGACAAACAGACAAACCAACTAGGCTGGTAATGCCCAAAATGTCTTAAAAGAATATGTCATGAATGCATAAAATATATGTAGGTAATAGTCTATTTTATCACTGACCACCATGAAATATGCACAAATTATAAAAAGTAAAAAATGTATCAAAACTTATGCACACACATAGACTATACCATTTTCAGTCCAGAGAATGTGAACAGACATAAAGATGCAGTATGAAATCATGATCACATAAAATTGTAGTACAGTAATAATTTTGTAGCCACTTCCTGTTAACATCACATGAAGCTGAAGTATTACAAGTGTCTGTTTAAAATGCTCTGAGAGCCAGGCACGGCACACATGCCTATAATCCCAGTTACTCAGGAAGCTTTCAGGGGGAATCCCAAGTTCAAGGTCAGCCTGAGCAACTTAGCAAGAGACTGTCTCAAAATAAAAAATATCAAGGGCTCAGCACGAAGGCCCTGGGTTCAAGCCCCAATACTGTAAGCAAAAAAAAAAAAAAAAGATAATGCCACATGTAAGTATGTATGAAATGTAAAGTAAATGGCTGAATAAAGAAGTGCAGAAGATTAAACTTCCTGTATGTAATATGTAATTAATTATAAAGGCATCATATATTTAATTTACTCACATTATCACAATCTGCACCCACAGAGGATGATAACATGTACCACCTACAAAAAAATTGTCTATGTTGATGCCTTCCAAAACCAAGACTTAGATTATCACTGGTCTACTGGACAAGATCCTGTCATATTTTTTTACTGTTTAAAAGTCAATGAGTATATTTATATTCTTCTTAGAATCTTCAACTCAACCTCTTCTTTGCTTTCTCACTGTTTTTACCCCCTTTATTTGGAGACAAAGTCTCACTATGTAGTTCAGGCTGATCTTGAACTCACTTTATAGCCCAGATTGGCCTCACACTCGCAGCAATCTTCTTGCCTCAGCCTCCAGAGTGCTAGAATTACAGGTGTGCACCACCACACCTGACTTGTTTTTACACTATTTTTAAGCCTCTATTAGAGTTGTTCATATTATTCTATGAAATGTGAGGTGGTACTTTCTTTTCTGACCTATTACTGTATTTATAATTTGCACATACAACTTAGTATCTGACTATCAAGGCTTATTTGTTTGATTTCTCCACAATATAGAAAAAATGGCTTACTTAGGAAAACAATTGTCTTTTTACTTCCTTTTCTACCCTCCATTCCAACAAGAACAATGTGGAACACTTAGGTTTGTACATGGATAATCATGGAATAATTAAAGCAGAATAAAATCATTTTATATAAGCAAGAGATAGACATATTAACATAAAGACAGGAGACATCTTAAGAAATAAATAAGGGGCAGCTGTGAACCCATGTTGAAAATTTTTTTCTTTGCCATGAACACATCAAAGAGATGGTCTCAAATGGATTGGAAATTAGAGCATATTTAGGTTAGTAACTTAAAATACAGGACAGGCCACTCTCTTGCATGGTGGCCCACCCTCACACTGTAGAGTGTATTTCTTTTCCTGCTTTTACTTTGCCCAAATTCATTCTGCAGAGCACATTTCTTTAATAAAACTTTGCTACTGTTTAAAAAAAAAGACAAAGAACTAGGCTATTTGGTGTTTTGTTAATCCACAAGATGCTGCAGACTGTAACACCAGTTCCTTATCTACAGTAGTTTGCCTCTTACATGCTGTTATGGCTCGTGTCTAGATGTCCCCTAAAGCCTCAAGCAGTTATAGGTGGGGCTTTTTCAGAGGTTGCTGAATCTATAGGGTGTGTGATAGTAGGATTAAGGGTGTGTGGTTACTAAATCAGTCCACTCACTGGTTTGGCACTGCCCTAATCCCAGTAACCTGGATACACTATAAGGGACAGAAAGTGGCCTGTTTTGTCCCTTGCTTGCTTTTGCTGTCTTCTGTGTACAATGAACTGTTTCTCCTCTGCAGTGCCCCTCTGCCATGTGCCACTCTGCCTTGGAGTCAGCCAACTATGGACTGAAACTTCTACAAACTGTAAGCCAAATAAACTTTTCCTCATTTAACTTTGTTTGTTTGTTTTTTGGTACTGGGGCCTTTCAAGAGGGAGGGAGGTGCCGGAACCACTGAGCTAAATCCCCGGCCCCTCCTTTAACTTTGTGTTTCAGGCATTCTTGTCTTAGCAATGAGAAAAGTAACTAAGATATATGCATAAGGCGCTTCCTCACACAAAAGCTGCTCTAAGAACCAACCGCTATAATATTTAAAAAGATACCAGTGGCTGAAGCTTCTCAATCGAGGGCACCCAAAGTGAAGAAACTTGGATAAATATGTAACACATGACTTGCTATACTAAAATAAGTTGGATAAAAATTACAATATTCCATTCACAGGAGAATGTTTTGCCTTGCCCAGATATCTAAACCTAATACTTTCAAAACATTTACTGAAAATCGGGTAGATTTTAAATTAATGTTCAGGGGAAATTATCTTTTAAACTTTGGATAGATGCTACAGTCAACACTGTACCTTAACTGGACCTGCACTGTGAAGTCACATTTGGTCCCGGAAATATCCCTAGAAGAAACAGAATAAGAAATATAATTATTTTAAAAATATGCACATGAAAGCTGATTCAAAGACACTCTTACTCTAGAAAAGTTTTAAAAAATTATCAGAAATGTAACTGTTCTTAAATAACATACAGTAGTACCTTGGTTAATGAATTTAATTCTTTCCACGATTCTGGTTGCAAACCAAATTGGACAAGAACCAAATCAAATTTTCCCATAAGGTCGACACTGAACCCAAGCACTGAATTTGATTTGGTTCTCGTTCAATGTGTGTGACCAGAATCGTGGAAAGAATTAAGTTTGTGAACCAAGGTATTACTGTACCATAATAATATTTTCAATACTAATATTAGCAGGACGCTAATA